CCAGTGAGAGCCCATCAGACTCCAGGCACCAGGGGAGGATCAGGAGTTAGGTGAACTCAGATTGGACAGCACCAGCTGAGAACAGCACTGCAGACTGACCAGGAGCACAGAAGAGCTGTGTCTGCCAGACTACTGGCTTGGCCGCAGCCCCAAGGCCGGCTTCAGCTGCAATGGTTTCCACAGGGTGTGAGTCCAAGGGTGTGGGAAGGCCTTCTTACCCTCCTCTGCTCCAATGCTTGCCTCACCTGCCTGCAGGGCTCACAATTATGTTAATGGAGCAAAAGGCCCTCCTTTCAACAATTAGTAAGAAGGTGTTGAGCATTATGAAATGGTGAGCGTGGGCCTGGAGAGGAGGTGGCACCTACAAAAAGTATCTAGGATTTACTAATAGTCTATTCTAACCACAGTGGAGACCTTTTTTAAGTCTTCTTTTCTTCCATTTTTACACAAAGGAAATGATCTCAACCTTTCTCACAAAAAGGAAAAAAAAAAAGTAAAGCATCCTGAATAGAAATGAGGCTGGCACACTTTAAAAGTGTTAGCTGCAATATCAGCTCTGAGGAACACTGTGCAGCATCTTGTCCTACTCCTTAGGGTGTTACACCTCAGGGTCACGCCACCTATCTGACCATGATTTGGTTGTGAGAGGACAATGCTGGTCATGCTGCTCTGCCCTGTCAAGTCAAGTTAGACAGTTTTTTAAAATATCATTTATTTGTATTTAACTTTTAAATTCCTGCATCTATAAATCTCCTTCTATTTAGAATTGCCCTAGGTAGGCCTTTATTTCAAATAACCTACTCCTGCAAGCTCATATCAATGTCATTTCCTAAACCAGTCAGGAGTAATGGAAGGTGATACTGAGAGGCTCTGGGCTCTCCCTGTCTTCAGGCTGAAGAACTTTGCTATTAACTCTCTGTGAATCTAGACCCTGCTAGGTCAAGTGGGTTAACAAACACATTCATAAAAGACATTGTTTCTATTAAAGGGTAGGTACCAACTTCTTTTTAATGATTTCATTATTAAAGGTCTACACACACACTCACACACACACACACACACACACATAATACTACAAGTTGTGTGTAACATACAGAAAAATCTAGAGATCTCTAATTTAATGCTAATAAACCTTGCAGTGAATAGTGCATTGTAGGATCCACTCAAATAGTGTACTGGATTAAACAGTATCCCCCCAAAATTCATGTCCACTCAGAACCTCAGAACATGACTTTATTTGGAAACAGCCTCTTTGGAGATGTAATTAATTAAGATGAGGTCATATAGAAGCAGGGTGAGCCCTAGTCTAATGACTAGTGCCCTTATAAAGAGGAGAAGTGGCACAGAGACACAAACATAGAAAGAAAAGAGCCATGTGACAACAAAGGCTGAGACTGGAATGATGCAGCTGCTTACCAAAGAACACCAAGGGCTGTGGGAAACCACCAAGGCCCAGAGCACTAGAAGAGGCAAGAAGAGACGGTTCCCCAGAGCTTCAGAGGGAGCATGGCCCTGCTGATACCTGCATTTCAGACTTCTGGCCTCCAGAGCTAGGGGAGAATAAATTTCTGTTGTTTTAACCCACTAAGTTTGTGTTAATTCATTTTGGCACTCAGAGGAAACCAATACAAATAGTAAATAAGAATATTTACTTCATTTCATAGTCAGTTGAATGTTTGCCTCATTCACACAGAAAATTTTGCTTGCTCCAAACCTTAAATAGCCAAACCTTATGTGTAAATGGTAGAAATTCAGTGCTGTATACTCTATCTATATTAAGTGTACAAAAGGCGGAAAAATAAAATCTTCAGGTATAGAAATAAAATAAAACCATAAGGATGTGGGTGTTCAATTGAAGAGGGGAAACAAGAAAAAAGAGAGATGCGAATCCTCACAGGAAGCATCTGTGATGCACAAAAGCATTCTCTTCAGTAGCTATGCTCTGCATTTCAGCTAAGCATTTTTCTCCCTTAACTTATAAAAGGAACGAACACTTGGTGGTCTTTCCCTCTGCCCTAATTCAGCTGTGCTGTAAATTCCTGACCCATCAGGAAGCCTCAAGGAGCATGACTGAGATTTTCTTTCTTTTTCCCCTCTGTGATGTATGCACTTGAGCATTTCTGCTGCTTGTACCCCAGAACTCACTACCATGAGTGCACCCAGCACGCCACCTTGGCTAGCTCTCCCACCGGGTCTGAGAGGAGACTAGGCAGTCCAGAAAGAGGTCTGTCCAGCTCCTGCGTGCAGCCACAGGTCTCCTCTCCCACCAGAGAACCCTTCTCCAGTCGCCTCTGCCTTAGAGTAAGTTGTCCTTGACCTTTCACGTGCAGCGAAGGCTCTGATAGCACAGAAGCAAATACAAGTGGCTTCAGAGCAGTCTTTTTCTGTTGTGGAAAGGAATCTGCTGTGCCTGAGTTCTACTCCTGGTGCCACTACTCTTCTGCTTCTTTAAGAATTAAGGAAGTAGGATCTGCCTCATCTCCCTATATCCACAGACAGGAAGGAATGATGTTTGCAGCTTACTTTCTTCATTAGGGTACTGTGTGAATGAGCATTGGCTATCATTTCTTCAGGACCCACTACCATGTGCAGAACATCAAATATTAGCATTTGTTATGTCAGGATGGTGTCCATCTGTTATATTACTTTTGGTTGCTTAACATATTTTGTGATTAAAATTTTTTTAGTTACGTTCCATTGAAACTAAATTAAGCTATCACTTATGTCTCTTCCTTCCAGACAAGGCCATGTTGGCATAGTGCAGACATGAACTACGGTAGTGCAGAAGGTGATCGGTGGAGGCAGTGGGGGCAATGGTGGTGGGGGCAGCACCGATGGCGTGGTATGTATGTGTAGGCATGAACTGTGTGACGAATAAATCTAAATTATCCCCAGGAGATTTCACATTTAAAAGAAATCAACTGAATTAACGTGACAAAGTATATCAGAACCTAAGAGCCTAAGAAGAAAACCCTGGATGAATCACTCCCTAGCTTCTGATGTGCAGAATAAAATACAGCTACCCCTTAGTCCCTAAGACGTCTGTGCGCTGTGGGTGGAAGCAGGCTGGGAAGTGATGCCCAGTTTTCTTCAGCACTACTTGCTGATTACTTCAGCAGAATTTGAATGGGAACTTAAAGGATGCACAGGACTATGACAAGGAGAGTAGAGTATAGGGCATTCCTATGTGAAGAATAGCACACTCCAAGGGACAGAAGCAAAATGGAACATAACTTGTTCAGGTCATGATAGGTGGTCTAATTTCACTAAGATCTTGCAAGAGGACAATTATAAAAACAAATTGGGGGGGGGGCAGAAATGAGTCAGAGAGGAGTTGGCCTGATGGCCTAGCAGTTAAGTTCACATGCTCCGCTGTGCAGCCCGGAGTTCGCAGGTTCGGATCCCAGGCGCAGACCTACACACCACTCATCAAACCATGCTGTGGCGGCATCCACATAAAAATAGAGGAAGATTGGCACAGATGTTAGCTTCAGGTAAATCTTCCTTACAAAAAAATAATGGAGTCAGATGGTATAAAGCCTTGAATGGAAAGATCATGAAGTTTTTTCTTTTTTTTTTTTTTGGTAGGCAATGGAGAGTAATAAGGATTTTTGAACAGGAGGATGATGTAATTAAAATACTGCTTTAGGAACAATATTTTCTCCTGCACAATTGAAAATTTTTAGGGCAAAACTATATAATAAAATGCTAAAGAATAAAATTCAAAATAGAGCAAAGCAAAAATGAAAGAAGAAAAGATAAGCTAACTTCAGAATGATGCTAGTCAATGATGCTAGTAAGTATCAGAGTATGATTAGTTGGAAGTGGTGAGCAGGGTAGACTGGAGAGGAATCAAGACAATTAGAAGCCCATTGCCATAATCTAGGCTTGATGACACAAGGACAACAACTAGGGTGGAGGACATGATAACAGAAAGGAAGGGATGAATTAAACAGGCACTCTGAAAAAGGAATTGACTGAATGTAATGACTAAAAAGGCAAAAGAGAAGGAGAGCCTACTATGGTTCTCCTTGCTCCTTTTCAGCTACAGTCACCTCCAATCATCTTTGGTGTTTGCAGCTTTTAGTGGCAAACTAAAAGTATTTACTAAGTTTAGTATTTTTAGTTGAATTGACTCATTATTTTTTGTTCCGCTTTTTGCTTAGTAAAGTTGCAATTATTTTGGCATCTCCAAATCTGTACCCTTGTGTTTTCCAATGCCCCTGTTTTTGCCTATATTTTTTTGCCTTATTTCCTGCTGATTTTCTATTTGGAAAGAAGGCTGTAGGGCAGCCCCAAATATCGAAGATTCAAAATTTCCAAATAGAGCACAAATTTTCTCATTCCATGTATGCAATAGATTGGGTTTTCTTGTAGAAACTTGTTTTTATTCAGTCCCATTCATGGGTCTGGGAACCATCCTCTTTCCTGTGACTGAGAGACCAAGCAACAATAAGCGTTGGTGCCTAGCTAGCTGAAGCTGGGCGTGTTCACGAGACAGAAGGACTCAGCAAGGATCTGGAGAGCAAGGCTTAAACCTAAAGGCAGTAGGGCCAGGTCGGAAGTGGAGGGAGTTACTTCCTGGATTTACCTTTATGAGGCTCAAGGCAAAGCACAAGTTATCTAGATTTCAATCCTTGTCTTTTTTTATGTTCTGTTCCGAGTTCTCTCTAAAATTCTCCTTACTTAATTCCCTTATGAACTTGTTAGAATACTACAATTTTAGCAACATAAGGAAACCAACATATAAACAAATATTCTCATGATCTATGTAATAATGTTCAGTATTAAACTTTTAGTCTTTTTGTGACATACAGCACGTTGTAATAATAATAAATTACAAAATAAGATTTCCTTACAATGTTTAGCAATAGATTATTTACTTAAACAATCAATGAGTGATGCATGATATGGAAATCCATGCACTTAACACACACACACACACAGCGTCACCCACATCGCAACACACACTTCTGAAGTACCATTGAGACCAGCACTACCTTTCACAGGTGAAGATGGACTCAGATGTAGTACCAGGTTCTCTGACGACAACCTTTTCACAATACCAGTACTGTGATTTGTCACTGGCCTCACAGCGCAACAGCACCTTCTGCAGTTTTCCAAGTGACACTGCTTCTACTTGAAATGTATCAGTCTGAGGCAGGGGACAGAGACACACGGCACAGAAATACTTGAGTCCGGCACACGACATATACCGGCAATAATAACAGCCCAAGGACTACCAGAAGCAGCACAATACTTTAAAAGAGATAATGTTACTACAATTAGCATCAAAAGGGGTAATAAGAAAAGAAAAATAAGCAAATTATTTTTTTATCTATTAAAAATATTTTTCTGGCTGTGCTTTTTCTCTCTTGCAGTTTTATTTCCCCCATTTGGAGTAGTATCCAGTGTAACAAATGAAAAAAACCCTAATACAAAAGCTTCCGGTTTGTGGCTTTTCTCTTGCTTAGATTCCTGCCAGTGTGACGCAGTTTATTAGGTGTCGGGTTGACAACCGCGTGGCCTAACATGCAGCACGTTTAGTTTCCGTGAGTGCTGACATACTTTAAGGCATGTAGGAACAAATTTTCTCTTTCTCTCTCTCCTTCTCTCCGTCCTTCCATCTTCCCACTCTTCCTCTCTCCCTTCCTTCTTCCTTTCTTCAATAAACCCTCTCCTATACTTTCATCTCTAAAGAATAGAGAGCATGTTCTTGAGTTTGTTGTGAAAGAGCATCCTGGAATCTCCATTTCTAAATAGAGCCACTTTGTCATGTCAAAAACTCACTGACATTTCCTATAGTGGTTGGAATAAAAAGACCTTCACACATTACTTCCTCATAGATGTTGTTGAGAATAACCGCCCTAAAATCATCTGAGGAAAGGGTTATAAATTTAATTAAGTCTGAGACATTCCCAGAAATGACAGTTAACTATTAGCCACTGTTCCCCTGCCTTGTGGTGAAAATGCAAATCCAGTATTGTTCATATTTTCTATACGGGATAGGTTGCCTTAATGGCTGACTCCAGTGTTACCTGGTTAAATTTCAATTTGTATTTGAAGATATACTACCTGTGTGTTAACTGTTAGTTCCACATTGCTGATGGAAACCTTCTCTTGTTTAGGCCAAACCAAAACCATTATAAGTCCAATGATGATATTTCTGTAAACCAGCTTATGACTGTGCATGTTCTCAAGTGTGCTTGGATAATTACATTGTCACTATCCTGCATTCCCAGTGTGCCTCTACAAGCGACATATCATGGTACACATCACCCCCCGTCCTCTAGCTCCATTTCTGGGTATATCTGCTGCTTTGGCAGATAGTTTAGGTATGTTGACAGCTTTCTCTCTCAGTCCCCTACGTCTCATTCTTCTTTGTCTGAGGGCTTCCCCTTGTGGGACAGGTTTAAGGGGTGTTCTGAAAGTCCCTAGCAAGAAGGAATCCCACCAGTAACCAGCTCATTAACGTCACAATATTGGCTTTTCTCCCTTTCCCCACTCCTTCACTTCAAAAGTACTCACTGGGATCACATCCCAGATAAATTACCTGTATCCTAGTCTTTGCCTTATGGTCTGCTTTGGAGCAAATCCAAACTACGGTACCTCAAGGTCCAGAAAGATTGCCTGAATCAGCTTTCTGATTTCTGCTTGTTTCTTAAAGTAACTTTAGTTTTGCAGACAGAATTAAATGAGGTCTACTATGTATGTTGCTGCCTGGGCACTTTGTAGACAAAATAACAACAATCAGCCCAATCAGTGGCTAATGATGTGAGCTGTGGCTGATGTGAAATCATTCTGGTAATAAACTAAAAGATTGTTGCCACAGTTTCTCAACTGCAAACTCTTGAAATCATTCAGCATTTCTATTACATTCCATGCCTTGAGGAAGATAATAGAAAAATGTGAAACCTAAAATAAACCAGGGAACAAAAACACTTTTATATCTCTGATTCTAAACTTCAAAACATACCACTAAACCCACATTTTTACTCTTATTTATACATTGATTGCAATTATACCTCCTACCCAAATGTAATTTCAATCTATAATACACCCTCCCTACTCTCTGGTAAATGCTATACACAATGATGAACTGAAGAATATTAATTATGAAGATGACTTGCAAAATCTGAGCCTCTAACATCACACGATGTTGCACACTAGCAGACCAACTAGCAGGCGGCCAGGAGAGACGGAGCCTTCACCAGGTATCACAAAGTAGTAACGTGAAGAGTCTGGAACTGATGGAAAGCTAGGTGGATCCTTTAGACGATAACTTCACTGATCACTTGGTATAATATTAACAATAATATCATCGTATCTTAAACTTTGCTTCTGTTGAAAATTAATAATTTACTTGTGGCAGCAAAAGTTAGGCCTAATTTTGTTTTTTCTTGCATCCAAAGCAGATCTAGCTTTCCTATTCATTGTGATAAAAGCTTCTGTGTAATTTGCAATGACAAATAAAAGGCTTAAGTGAGCTTTAAGATCTCTGATGTTTCAAAATATTTCATGATCTACAACCACAAAAAAGTTTAAGAAATAGCACTCTCAAATTGGTTTGGGAGTCTTCTCTCTTAAAAATATACCCACGGGGGTTACAGAATCCCTATTCTTAATTTCAGACCCCCAAATAGTACTTTCTATATACAACAAAATAACATTAAAAATTAACTGGGTTTATTATATATCTCACTGCAACTCCTCAAACATCCAATACATAGAAAGACTCATGCTTATATACAAAGGACAAAAGGGAATAGTGAAGAGATTTAAGGTGTGAAAATTATATTGTTGGCTCCATTCAAGATGTTTTAAAGAAAGGCGACAGTGTTATTATGTGAAATATACTATAATGGCCCTACCATGACTTGACCTTTTAGAATAGTAATGCTTTGTACATTTTAGTCCCGACAGAGCATGTTCATATATATTTTTCCCTGATATCATCTCATTTTTTTCTTTTCCTTACACTATCACTAATTTTTAATATCTTTTTCTTATTTTTATTATTTATCACTCGTATAGTGTGCCCCATTTTTCTTTCCAGAATAACTTACAACAAAGCACATTAGGAAGTCAGGTCAGGAAAACTTGTGTTAAAGACATACCAAAATGAAAACTTGAAGGGTGTCAAGCACCTTTCAATTTTCCGTCATACATGGCCACCTTCAGAGAGATTGCTAAGAACCTGGGAAAGTTATTTGTGCAGACTCACCTGTCCTCTTTGAAACTTTACTGGCATGTTAGATTTGTACAGCAGTCTAAGACCAGAGTCTCCTCTCTCCCCGTAGAGACACAGGGAAACTTCAGACTTCGTTTCTGCTTGCTTCAATTGGCCAGTATGAACATCAACATGGTATCTCACTACTGGCAAGGCAAAGGGGAGAGAAACAAGAGGAAATCCATTACCTGGGAATTCATACAAACAGAACCCAGATCCATGGGTCAGGTCACAGCAGAAAACATTACATGAGAATTCCTCTAATCTGGACTTGGTGTATCTATTGAGAAATTTTTTGATCTTTCAATTGTTAATTTTAGTTATAAATGGGAATTTTCATACCATGAACAAACGCCCCAAGGGTTATAGCTTTTTCAGAAAGAGAAATAAAGATTCTTTAAAAAGGCTGTTCTTCTATGTATGACATAGGAGGATATTTCACGCTTAGTATTTAAGTGGCAAGGGTGACAATGTTATTGTACATGATGCTTCAAGTTTAAAGTGATATAAGTTTAAAACGACATAAGGTTTGATGAGGAAATATATCAAAAGTGAAATGATGACATGAGGTGGCCAAATTGCCTCAGGCAAAGCCAGATGAGGCACAGACATGACATTTTTTCTTTCTCATAACCTCAGCCCCTGTGACTGTAGCTGAACCAAAGGAATCTTTTTGAGATTATGTTTAATCCCAGATCTACCAGTGACTCATGTTGTGATGCTGAAAAAGTCACTTTTCAATGGGCAAAACAAGTCTCTTAGAAGTAGAAAAAATATTCTGTAACTAAATAGTTCAGAAGTAAATTTAAGCAACTATAACAATTTGTATATGCAATATATGCTACTGAAGATTAATAACACACATGGAAAAATAGCTTGTCCTCCTTCTACTACGGGAAGCTCACAGACAACATCCCCATCTGCTTGGATTCGAGATAACCATGCATTTGCTGCAAAATCCAGGGTCTTCTTGCTTTTTATATGTTGCATGGTCACCTGAGATTAGAAGAAACGATGATTAAATTGTGTGATTTTCAATTCTTCACAGAACTCAGAATTCAAAATGCACCCCAGGGACTGCTAAAATGTACTGCACATTTTGATGGTTGTTGTTATCAGTAATATAGTAGTAATGGCTGTTGCTTATTAAGTAATTATTATTTGCCAGATATTATGTTAAGTGATTTATTTTAATTATCTCTTTTAACCTTTACCAATTAGATTGGTAAAATTCTTATAATTTTATAGAGAAGAAAATGGAGGCTTAGAGATTTGAATTGGACTCTGTCTGATTCAAACCTCTCAATTTCACCTACAGCAGTTGCTAAAGAAGCAATCTATAGGAGGAACTCCAAAAGAGATTTTGTGTTCATAGTAATCACCACAGCAGGCATACAGCATAATTTTTTAAATTTCTAATGCCTTTTAAGTGTATTTGCAATATCTGTAGCCTGTGGAATAGCCCTCAGCTCTGCAGGCAATGTGCCTGCACTTCCCAGCATACGGTAAGTTGCCTTTACCTCCCTGCCCAAGGAACCCTCAGTAGACCCTTCATTAGCTCTTGCTCCTTTGGTGGGTCTTTCACAAGAAGGCTCCCTTCCCTTTCTCTTCCCCTTCACATCTCAGCAGAGGACTTCCAGAAAGAATTTCACAATTGCCTGCCTTTTCTGCAATCACAATGGATGAAGTGCCCTCTCCTTTAAAGATATTGGTTTATCTTCTAAATAAGTCTCTGTCCCTCATTAACTTCCTCTTCCTCCTGGCCTTAGGAGCAGGACCCACCATTTCTCAGGCGGCTAATCCTCAGAACTGACTGCCATAACCCACTGACTGTTATTCTTGCTCCCCTCAAAGCCTGCCTTTAAACTGTTTTAAGAGAAATTATTCTAAAACAGAAATCTGATCGTTTTGTACACTGATCACAACTTTTTCAATAGTCCTACTTATAGCATAAGATCCAAAATCCTCAACACAATGAGCAGTTCATAATCAGGCCTACTTACCTTGATAGATATTTCCCCCTCACATCCTATATTGCAGTCATACTGACCTGTTTATGGTTCCACAACCTGGCCACAACCCTTTTCACCTCAGTTTTCACACGCACTTGTATCTCTGCCTAGAACAGCATCCATCTGACTCATTACTATGCTGAATCTGCCCATCCTTCATTACATAGCTCAGGCACAACCTCTTCTAAGAAGCCTTTTGTGAGCCCCCAATCTGGGCTAGGTGACCCTACTTTGTGATCCATGGCACCCTACCCTTTCATGACTTTGACTTAACACCTAATATTTGACTGATTTGATGGAAGGGACCATGTGCTACTCATCTTGGTACTTCCATAAGCTTTCACAAGGCATCCTTAGGTTGTTTATTGAATGAATGATTATATAACTAAGTGATATGGGTATTGTCAACACAGGTAATTAAACTAAATCAGTACACCTGATCACTAATGCCTGCTTGTGTCTTCACTTGCTCCAGGAAAGAGGCCATGAAAAGAACATTGGATTTGGAGTCAGAAAAACTGGGACCAAAATCTAAATCTACCATTTTACAACTGCTTGACCATGATAAAGTCACATTGTCACTTTAAGTATCAGTTTTCTCATCCTTAAAATAGGAACAGTGACTATCTCACATGGTTGTTGTGAAGATGAGATGAGATTATATGTAAGAAATGTGCAAAACTTTATATAAACTGCATAAACAATTCATATTAACCTTAGCCAAATTTATATATGAATACATTCATAAATATAAAAGAGATTAATATAATATATTCTACTAAATTTGGAGATGTCCCTTTCTCTAGACTACAACACGCTTTATTTTTATAGCAATTAGATGGAAAATTCAGGAATACTAAGAGATAGAGACCAATCACAAAGATTCATATGCTTTTTAATCCTGATCAGATACAATGCTTAAGTAAAATTATTTTCAGCCCTCTGCCTGAAGTTTTGAAACTTCAGTTGCCCCAATGGTCCTGAAACTCAGAGCCTGGGTTGCTTATTTGGCAACAGGAGAGACAGAAGCAGTGGATGAATGAAAGAAGGGCGATCCACATCCTACAGTTGAGGCTCTATAAGATGGGCCATCTCGTTGCTAAAGTTTCAGCAGTGAGAGAAGGAGTTTAATCTTTTTTTTTCCCTTCCTGGAGCCCATTATGAGTCTATTATTTTGCTTTACTTGGGACAAAAGGAGAAAAGTTACTCCCTAAGCTATATAGAGGGGCATACTACTCAAAAGAGCAAGGAAACAGAATTCTTAAACAAACAAACAAAAAAAGAGCTACCATGGGTGCAGGGGAGTTTCCAGCTTTCCTAAGTGCTGCATGCAGATGACCCTGAGAAGTGGCATACAGACCCTCGGCCTCCTCGCAGTGACGTTTCTTACAGTGGACTTTCACAGCACTGCACTGGGCATGGTTGGGAGTTTAACAAAAAAGAAACTGTGTCTACCGTTGAGGAGATTTTACAGATTCTCTGTGAAGTATAGACTTAAAATATTTAAGTAACACAAGACTGTATTATAGTAGCATATTAATAAACACTTATTAACACAGACTAAGTTCTGTGGGGATTCAGGATAATGCAAAGTTTAGGATACAATAAGAATCATTTCAGCTGGAATCCAATAGATGTTTCAGATCAAAGAGGGTTATAAACAAGTGAATGGGAATCTTCTAGATTCTGGACTTGAAGCCTTCCCCATGAAGTATAAGGTTTTTACAAGGTCACTCTACCTAAAACTCCAACATGCTCTTCCTCTACACTAAACTCTCTATGGAAATTGGCAAGAAGCCTCTGGTTTCTGAGGCACCACCATCCCTCATGCTTAGAAGCACCCACTGGAGAGAGTCTTAATCATTTTACTTAAGTGAACGCAATCTCACTAACTTCACTGAAAAGCCTTCGGGGTGAAGGCTCTGAATGAATTCTATTTACTTTCAAAGCCGTGATGCCTCAAAATAAAAAAACAATAAAGTGCATTCCTGGCTTTTTTTTTTTTTTAAACAATAAAGAGATATAGCAGTGGTTCTCACCTGGGTGCGATTTCTCCCCCCAAGACACATGTGGCATTTTTGGTTGTCATAACTGCAGGGGGGCGGGGGGTGCTACTGGTATCTAGTGGGTAGAGGCCAGAGATGTTAAACATTCTACAGTGCACAGGACCGATTCCCCCCACCCGCCAACAAAGAATTATCTAGCCCCAAATTCAACAGTGCTAAGGTTGAAAAATCTTGGGATACAAAGATAAATAGTTGGATAATAGATAACTCAATAATTAAATAGAATGATATAGGTAAAGAGAGATACATACATCCATACATCCTATCTCCAGTTGTAATTATTTCTGTTTTTATTTTCACAAAAAATGTTTTTTCAATTATTAAAGTAATAAAGGAGGTTAAATCCTGGAAGACCACAACGCATAAGCCCAGTCATACAGTAGCTACAGGCAGGACTCAATGAAGGACATGTGGCAAGTGGAACAAATCTGGACTTGGATCAAAAGACCCTGATTTATGCCCTAACCTGCTACCTTACCAGGTGTATGTCCTTGGGTAAAAGTTTTACATGATGACCTCTGACCTTCAGGTCCTCATTTGCAAAACAGGCATCATAGCTGTCTCGCTAGGTTGAAGATGGAATGTTTTAGAGTGGGAGTGCTTTACGTAATAAAATGAGATTAAAACACCTTATAGAAAAGAGACATAGGAAGTTATTTCCCAAAGCAGAGCTTTCTCAAGTGTGGGTTGCAATATCCAGGCATATTAAAAGAGAGATTCATTTTAGAACATCTGATTTCCCTGGTTGGCAGTAAGATGGTGGTGCATGTGCCTAAGAGTCAGACCACTTCTTTTCAAATCCATGTGCTAGCTATGTGATATTGGGAACTGCTTATTGTGAATTCAAAAATCTCAATATACTGAACTGGAATAATAATATTATCTACCTTGTTGTGGCACAAACATTAAATGATGACCTATACCCTGAGTGCTCAATGAATGCATATTGGTGGTGATGGTAGTAGTAGTAGTAATAGTAGTAGCATCACGATTAATCACAGAAATTAGAGATCAGAATTCTTTTTTTTTTTTTTTGGTGAGGAAGATTGGCCCTGAGATAATATCTGTTGCCAACCTTCCTCTTTTTGCTTGAGGAATACTGTCCCTGAGCTGACAACATCCGTGTCAATCTTCCTTTACATTTTGTATGCCAGATGCCACCACAGCATGGCTTGAAGAGCAGTGCATAGGTCCACGCCCAGGATCCAAACCCAAGAACCCTGGGCTGTCAAAGCAGAGTGCGTGAACTGAACCACTTCGCCACCGTGCCAGCCCCCTAGAGATCAGAATCCTTAACTGTTATTTGGTTTGGTTGTTTGTGGCTCCTCACTTTCTAACATCCTCCTAGAGACTGCACAAGAAAATTTCAGCCAAATGCTCAGTTCTTTATTATCAAAAAGAGAAATTCTACTTTAAATCCCTGACTCCTACTCTACTGGAATGAGCTGACCAAGGCTGTCTGGGAAGACAGATAAGCCTCCTTGGCTCTCCCTCACTAAGCCAATCTGAAGTAGCTTCTCCTGCTTCCTTTCTTTTGGGCCCCACCCTGAATTCTCTAGCTCATCAGTTAAGAGGTTTATAAACAAAAGACAAAACCCCTAACTTCAAAAGAAAGAGCTCTCCAAAGTCTTCAGGAATCTAAATCTGGACTTGGATCCTCTGACCGCTCTCTTTCACTCATCTCATCCTCCTGATAAAGCTCTCTGGCACTTCTAGTCTTCTAGATTCCTAGTTGTATAATCCCTGCATGCTTCCTCTGAGATGGTTCCCATTCTGATCCTTTGTAACATAAGGCAGTAACACATAAGAAAAAGGATGTCCATTTCTTTAAACTGCAAAGACTGGTACTGCCCTAACTCCTCTCCAGGGTTTGCCACTTCTGCTAATGTCCTACCTATTTAGCCCTTCAGAGATGGCC